ATAATGAGAGAAACTTTACTTCATAAAGTACCATGCTTGTTCATGGTGCCAAATGAATAAATAATATGCCGTCAGGTTGGAGAAGGGAAAAGATTTTTCCCATCATCAGAATAACAACTTGGGTTTTTGGGGCACTTTATTGCATTCAGAGAACTACATATAGATTGTCTCATAAACCTTACATCAATCCTGCAAAGCCAGGTGTATCAGTCCCTCACTGCAGATGTAGAAAAAGCAGGATGGAGACTGTGACTTGGGGGCTTGCCCAGGGCTTCCTCCTGGATTCATGGGAGAGTTGACATTTAAACTGAGAAGTTCCTGGTTCGCACAACTCTGTTTCTCATCCACCAGATGACAACAAACACACTTTGCAGGATCAGGGCTTGTTATCCTGTGGTGTGCAGCCTCCAGGCTAGCCTAGAACCCTTCGTGCAAAACAGCGAAGCTCCTTGCAGAAGAACCTGCCTGCTCAATGCCTTCATTTGTTTATCCTCAGTCACTCCTGCCTTGGGGGTGCCCACCAATGTGCCGAAGGGGAGGCTTATTCTTGTTTTGGTATACAAGGGCAAGAGGAAACCCCCTCCCAGGCCTGGGTTTTCCTATGTGGGTCCATCTCTTTTCCGGCTGCTAGAGAGATCTTTTCATTCTGTACTGGTGATCAGTTAGAAAAGAAGACAGGTATACACAAATGGACATCTCTTTGGAGGAATCAGGGACGGACAAAAAACAGGGAATATGTATCAGCTGTTTCTTTCACCCACCTGCAGTCAGAATTATTTATTTATTTTTTACTTAGCATGAAAGATAGATTTACCTCCACACCTTGTGAAACATCACATGCACTTTCAATTCCTAGGGCTGATCTATTTCTGGAAACTTCCATAGACTGAGACAGCTGAAAGTGTGTTAGCAATGCCAGCTTGCTGAATCACTTCCTGGCTGCTCAGGGACGGCACGTCTGCTTTTGTGACTTTTGAAACTGCCCTGCAGCTCTATGGTTCTGCTGAAGGCTTTGGTTAGCTCTTTTTTATGACTTTTACTTGAAGGAAGTCTTCTACTACACGGTGCCCTTCAAATGGGTTGGATTACACCTTCCATCACCCCCAGGAAGCAGGGGCCATGGCTCTGTTTATTCGGGAAGAAGGGTGTTGCTGACCTCCACACCTGGAGCTTTCCAAGTGGGCTGACGTTACAAGTCTCCATCCACGGTCAGTATTTGAATGGAGAGGGTATTCCAGTTCACGCCAAAGTAATGTCGCGGACTGAGTCATGGACATGGAAGAGTTCTACCATTGCTTCCTTTAAAAAGCATCTTTATCCATTCCTTTCATTTAAAATAAAAGTTCAGTTTGACAGAGCTCACCCTTCTGCTCTGGACTCCCAGACTCTAATAATAAACTCCACACCATTGCCGCTTAAGGAATTGTGTCTCAATTTCTTAAGGCTTCTCTGCTCATTCTGTCAGTGCACCGCACCTTCCAAAAATTTGCACATACAGCAAACAATTGACTCGTGTGACTTGCACTGCATGCAGTGTGATCTTCACCTTGTACAAGTGTGCAAAAGTTTGTTGTCCCTTATCCCAGCTGTGTGCCCCATGCAGGAGAAATGCCTGGCACGGGAATCCCGTTTGTCCCTCATGCAAGACACGTTGAGTTTAAGACCTGCTGGATGTCTTTTCCCACTCCCAGTCTGAAAAATAAAAAGGGATCTATTTTAATGTAAATCCTCCTCCTCACCCCCAGAGGATGAAAGAAGACACTCCGTAATGAGCCACAAATTCTGCTAGCCTCCCCAAGAGCGACTGTCTTTTGCTTTACATTGTCAGGCAGGCGCCACCAGGGGGCAGTCTTCCACTTTAACATCCTGCTTCTTCTCTTTGGGACTCCGGATGTAGCCAAAATGGTACAATCCCTGCCCAAGAGGGAGACAGCAGCAGGCTGAAGGGCGCTCAAAGGTTTGCAAAAGCACAGAAGAAGTTTACTGTGCATGTCGGGGGAGGACACTACTGGTGGGTTGGGTGCAGAGAGAGATCTCAGACAGCGCAAGGTAGACCGCGTGCTCAGTGGCCACAGAATGCTGCCCGTGGTTGTGTGGAGCAGGGGACAGGGAGCCAGGGAGGAGCTGGGAAGGAATAGAGTACCCTAGAAAAGAGCATGGCTGGCTGACGTCCAGAACAAAAGGCTCCTACCCTGCAACTTCCTGTTGCAGGCGCTACTTTCTTGTGCTCATGAAAAGCAGTAGCATTCTTTGCAGCAAAGACTTATGGTAAAGATAGCTTGTTCTTTAAAATGAATACATTGCATTAATTAATAGCAGCAAAAGCGTTTGTATTCCACCTTCACCATTTTTCACAGGCATCTTTCCGCCACAGGAGGAAACTAGTTTGGCAAGAACAGCACGCCTCTGCAAAAGCAGTCTTACCGCTTCTACGGTTTTTATTCTCCTGATTCACTCAGCCAGATTACAGAGGATAAAAAGTATTTCTGCTATTAATCTTCCCCAAACAGTAAGGCAGGCCATTTCTAAAACTCTGAGACAACCATTTATAGCGAACCCCGAGTGACTCATGCTATAATCCCTACAATTATATGACATGAGACATGCAGCACAAATCAGGAAAGGTGTCTGGTATCTGGATGACTGCGATTCAAGACATCCCCTACAAAAAGACAAGAAAAAGCTATGTGCATGGCACAGGGACAGAAAGTGTGCACTTATGTGACTACGGAGCTTGGAAACTAGGCCTTAAAATGTTACCGAACCCACAGCTCAGACTCCTCCTTTATGCAGCTTTTGTGGTTTCCCTCCATTGGGTACCCTCCAGTATGTCAGAGTACAGCTTGGCTGTGATGCCTCAGACTGATGGGAAATGAAGCCCAGAACACCTGGAGGGCACCAGTCCAGGCAAGGCTGAGCTATGAGATGAGAAAGGCGGCTGTCATGGGATACTGCCTGACACATCGCGTGGGGTTTGGCCAAGGAAGAGGAAGGCTACAAACCTGACTGGATGTGTTTCGCGTGGGGCGCTTCCGTGCTGGAGCGAAGCGGCAGATGGAGTCCAAGGCTGAGTGGAATCCATCCAGGCAGGAGAGGAGGAAAGACAGTAAGCAAAAGGCACAGACAAGGTGAGGCAGTGCAAGGCAAAGCTGGCAGGCTAGGATCACGAGGCGGGAACAGGGCAAGAGCGGCAGCCGTTGCGCAGGAATCCCTGAAGGGCCGAGTGTCACCGAGGTGGCTGCTGTGAGAGGCAGGCTGGCAATCCATTGATTTATTTGCTTATTTGACGGTCTCTAGCCAATTGGAGGCAGGAAAAAAGGAGCCCTTCACACACACACACTCAAGGTGTGTGTAAAAAGACGGAAGTCTCCTGGCGCTACCACTGTTCACCTGTTCCGCCTTTTCCTCTTAACGGGTCCCCCCACCTCGGGTAAGAAAAAAGGCAGAAGAGGTGCTGGGAAAACACAGGTGGGTCACAGGCTGGAGACAACAATGTTCGTCTCTGTGTGAAATTCTGTGAACGAGGCAGGGCCCTACCTGGAAGCTCTCTCCTTCTCCCTGGCTTTGTCCTTGTTTCCCCAGCTGATCCCCAGTGCTAGTTTTTGCTGGCCTAGGAAACACTGGGCCCCTCACTCAGTCTTCTCCTGGGTCCGTGCTTGACTTCACACATTGTTGTGTAGCACACATGCAGGGTTGTGTGCTACAGCACTTGCAGACAAAAATGTCACCCGTGTGCTCTAAACATATGAACAAGGGCCTGAGCTGCCCTTCTTGTGGTTACAGTTCCTCTTCTGGCCCATGACAAGAAGGCTCATTTGAAAATCAAAAGAAAAAGTTATATTGGAAGATGCAAAGTAGGCTTGGGCTCCCTCCCTCCCTCTCCCTCCCTCTGTAAAATCTTCTACTGCTTCCATATCTACAGTATCGCTTCTCTTTATGAACAACACCAAGTCGAAATTCTCTGTTGTCCCACTACAGAAGATCCCAAGATGGGGCTAGGAAAAGTGGGATCCCTAAAAGCAGAAGAAGAAAAATATGAAGTGGGGTGGCATGGCCAGTGGTAAAACTTGGGGTCACCCTGAAAGGCCCCTCTGCAAGATGAAGAAGGCCAGCCTTAGAACTTCCATCTCAATGGGTTTGCATGGAGCGTATTTTCACTGGGGCTGTTCGCATGAAACATGTTGTTCCACCCCTAATTATTTCTGTGAAGCAAACCTCAGTTTAACCACCTCTGCCATAAAGAGGCAGGAGAGGGCAGTCAAACTCAGGAGTCTCCCCTACTTCCAGTCCCACGCCCGAGGCAGCAAAATGTTGATACAGAAAATCTAATTGTAAAAATATGGGAAGAGAAAAGGGGAACCGAGTTGCCGCACTTCAGTGGCTGCCCCCTTACTGAGCCCTGGGCCAGTCTTATGGTGCCCCCCCCTCGTCTTTCACGTTCACATCATCAGCAACAGCTGGTGATGAACAGGGAAAGGGACTTCCAAGGAGCTTTCCGCTGCTGCTGCTTACCCCTTCCATGGGGAGGTCTTCCACTTGTGCTGAGGCGAGATGGATGAGAAAATGGTGCCACCACAGTTCACTCTAACAGGCCTCTTCAAGGTCACTTCTAGTGAACCCGGCACAACAGTTGTGAGGCTCCACCTTCACTCATGGCAGAGGTGGGAACAAAGGTGGGGGGGCAGGGACAGTGAAAAGGGAGGGAATAGCAGGGACGGCACGGAGCGCTGGGAAGGATGTGTCTGGAGAGCGGGGCCCCTCTAAGGTACCCATGTGTTTGGTCTGCTGCAGAGGTATGGCTTTTTCTTAGCATGGGTGAGCTAGGAGAGGCCTTGGTGTGAAGACACAGGAACCCTTCTAATAAGTGTGTCCTGGCAACAGGTCTCCCAAGCATATATTATCACCATCTGCTGAGGATGCTGCACGGGAAGGCAAATGTCTGGTGTCCTTCTTGCAGTAGCCGTTCCCAAGCATGCCTGCAACAGCTGAGCAGCACTTACGGTAAATCCAATGCCCACCGTTGCAGAAAAAGAGCCTGGTATGAACTTGCCCTGGTCAAACTGGACCAGCAACGACGTCTTTCCCACTCCACTGTCTCCAACCAGGATAGTCTGCAGAAATCAGACAGAGGGACACATCAGCATCTCTTGAGGAACAATGATCTAACATGGACTAAATGTTTCCAATGTTTGTTTCAAGATGGTAGGAGAACCCTGCGTACAGGATCAAACATCACACTACATGCTGTATTTGTTTTTTAATTTAAACAAAGATGTTTTTCTACAGAGCTCTCTCCGTCCGTGGCGACTTTCTTCTCAAACCAGAAGCCATGGGCATTGCTCCAACCAGGTTTCTCCCAGGAAACACAGCACACCAAGACCCGAGATACAGACTCTTTCATTTTGTTACAACCGTTCCCCTTTAATAAATAAGGAATATCCGTACTTCAGGCATTTGGCCCTTTTAATTACTCGCCTCCTTCAATGGGATTTGGATTCAAACCTCTGTCAAAAGCCAACTCGATTCTGCTTGGTTCTAGTTTCAGGGTGTGTCGTTGACATAACCTCTCCCTCTTCAGTCCTTTCTTCTGGACTAGACCAGAGCCCGGGGGTCTCTGTCCTGGTCAATCCAGGGCAGGGGCTCCACGCTTGTTGGCTTGCACCAAACTCTTGTCCTTTATCTGAGGTCATGGCATCTTTCATTTTTCTAAGCTGTCTTTGCTGTGTCTCAGTACTGAGCTACTCTGCCTGTGGCCTGGGAGATCGCTGCTTATCCTGTTGCCTCCCTCCTCCCTTACGCCTGGCTCTGTTCTGTTTTGCCGGGTTGGAGCATTGCTGTGTTCCCTGGTCCTAGATCCGGATGATCTCCAGCTGATCGGTTCTCATACTAGATCTCTCTCTTGCTGGTGTATTCTCACTCCGAGGGACCTCCTGTGAACTCAGTCATCTTTTGCACATGCAGCTCTTCTTCCAGCATCTGTAATAAAACTACTGATATTTTCCTCTTAGGTAACTTAAATGGCTTCTTGTTGTATCGCTCTCTGTTTTATAAACGATGTCTAGCTCTCCATCTCCCACCAGCACTTCCCTGAATTCCCGTTGGATCATTTTTAACTCTTGTCTTCATCTGAATTGCCTGGCACTCCACTGTTCACTTTCACCTAAGCTGTGGACCTCTACCTTTATCAGGCTGATAGTCCGGAAGGCCTTCGTTCAAAGAGTGGACTGCTCTCTAGTTATCTACATTCACACACTCAAGCCTTTAGTTCTTTTTTATATTTAGCTTAGGGATTTTGAGTTTGCATTTTCCTCCTGGTTTTAATGTAGGGGTTATATATTTTAAAAAGCAATGTTAGAGCAATACCATGACCTTCAAGTGTTGTAGCGCATGTATATATCAATACTAGTGCCATAACCATACATCCAAAGCCAGAACGGGCTTTTAAGGCCATGGGCCATTTTGGGAGGCTTGAGTTCAGGAAGAAGGACTTGGTATCCTGTGCTTGCCAGAGTGAGATAAGAATGAATGCTGGAATTCTTGCAGGAAAAAGGTCTCCCCCCCCCCCCCCCCCCACCCCAAGAGATTAGGCAACACAACCCTGCAAAGAGGATGGCTCATTGTCCTGAGACACCTGGAAATTACCTCATGTATAGCACCTGGCAAACACAGACAAGGAACTCACCTCTTACGCAGGGAAGCAATAATTAAGGCCACTGGGAAGCCATCAAGCCCTCTTCTCACAATTAGCCCAAGCCTGGAAAACTCATTTTTCCCATGGACAAGTGTTCAGAAAGAAAGAGTGTAAATATCAGGGGCTTAGAAAGCAGACCTGCTCTCTCTCCTCTCTCTCCTCCTCAAGCACATTCTGGACACACAAGCTCTACTGTTGCCCCCCAGCGGGTAATGGACATCCTCCCTCTTTCTGCTAGTCTCTCTGTGTTAGGTAGGAAGCGCTCTCTCTCTCTCTCTCTCTCTCTCTAGAAATACAGAGTAAGTTTGGGTTGCAAGAGGAATATTTGCTGTTTAAAAAGGCAAGGTAAAGGTTTCCCCATACTTGTGTGCTAGTTGTGTCTGACTCTGGGACTGGTGCTCATCTCCGTTTGTAAGCTGAAGAACAGTGTTGTCCAAAGATGCTTCTGTTGTCACATGGCCGGCATGACTAAGTGCCGGGGCACACAGAACGCCATTACCTTCCTACCAAAGTGGTGCCTATTTATCTACTCACATTTGCACGCTTCAGATTGTTAGGTTGGCAAGACAAGAGCAAATTAAAAGCTTGTGCCTGCTTTATAGTTTCTGCTGGATAAGCTTTCCTTGCTTAGTGGGGGGTGTGTGTGTGTGAATGCAAAACCAGAGCTTGTTCTCTCTGGCTGTGGACGTTAAACCCCTGCAAAAGGTCCCAGAACTTTATTGCCCTCTAAGGTTACCTGGCTTAAGAGTGTGCAGAGGGCATAGGATTTTTCAGATTCACAGATCTGAGGTCAGCCAAAGCTCTAACTCCAGAGTTGGGGACCAGACTTAGATCCCTTCCTACCCCACCTGTCATGAGCTGAGGTTCCTCCTCTGAGCTTTCAGAAGCCACAGGCCCTTTTTGTTGCAAAGCATTCGATACTGACCAAAAGCACAAATCACCCAGAATGATTCTCTGAGCATGCGCAGAGTGATTTGTTGGACCCAGTCCAGGAATCACCTCCAGGAACCCTCCTTCTGAGCATGCCTGGGCCCCATCCCTTTGGGAGGGGCCTTCTGAAAGCGAGTACCTCCTCTCCATGTGCCAGTCGTCTCACTGGGCTGCCTCCTCATGGGGTAAAGAATTGCAGATGTTCACGGCCCCTTTCTGCCTGTTCTATATCTTGAATGTTCCCAGGACCTGCCGGCCTGCCTGATGCATCTGGTCTTGACATCTCAGTGTCCTGGCACAGCCCATCCTCCCCAGCAACCCTTTGACCTGCTTCATAGTTCAGTTCTGACGAATCCCAGCCAGCAGCCCTTGAGAACGAGCGCCCAGAGCAGCCATCTCTCTCACTCCCAGCACTGCCGCAAGGAGCACAGAAAGAACCGCAATGGGCTGCAAGAACAATTCCAGAAAGGCAGTGAAGAGGGCGTTCCAGGGGGTGGCAAGGGGAGGTGACCAGATCTAGCAAGGTCCCGACCATCTGATAGACTGCATTCAAGGGCTGAGCATGGGTTGAGTGTGGGATGTCATTGAAATGTGGATGATCATGTTGTCTGAACCCAGCCAAGAGAACAAACCAGGGTGAACAACCCACAGTTCACAACCCAGCAGCAGACCATATGCTTTTCCCATGGGTTGGTTGTGCGTAACATGCCTTGTTAGCACAGCTGGATCCAGGCAGCACGATAATCCATGCTTCAGTAACAATACATGGTTCAGTCGCAATCCACATACTCACCTTCTGGGTGTGGATTATCAGGTCGTCTGAACCCAGTCTATATGTGCTCCTTTAGCAAAGGTTGAGCCAAAATTGCCCTGGGCTGCTAGTCTCTTACGCCCTGGTCCCCTCCTCTATGGCTGTGTCTTTCCATTGTTTCATTCTTCCTGGGGCTGGAATAGGCATCAAAACAACCTGCTATTGTAGTCAAAGAATGCTGTGCTTGGAAAAGTTTGCACAAGATGGCCATGCTTGCTCAAATGGCAAGGTGGAATCCCAGAGAAACGTGCTAATCCACGCAGCTTGATCATGTCCATTTGGATCCTCTCACCAGCAGAAGTGACACTGGTAACCAGGAATGAACAGGAGGGGAAAGCTGACTCCTGACATATTTCTTAACAGTCCAGGAATTCTTCGCCCTCCTGGCTCCAGTCCCTGGCTTGTTAGGGGAGTGGCCAACAGGAGTCCTGCTTGGATGTCATGCTCAGTGCTTTCCTCCTGGCAAGTTCCCGGTGAGTGAAGCCACTCCTGTTAGCAGAAGGAAATAAGCGGGTGTGATGAGGTGCTTTGCACCATCCCTTTGGCTCTTGAACCCTGATCTGGGGCTCATTAGAATGCTGGTTTGTCATTTTGTCTGAACGTGGCCTCAGGCTGGAGGAAATGAGTCTTGCTTTCAGTTAGATTCTTCCTGGCAGGGCATTCCCGCTGACTTTTTCACACCATCACCCACATTCTCTTCCTTTCATTAAGCTTGAAATGTTGCAAACGCAGTCTCCAGAATGTCAGCAGTGGTGACAACTTCTGCTTTCCCCCGTAGATATTCTGAAGGGGAGAGACTGCTTCAGTTTCCCTAACTGGATAGGAAAAGCAGAAGTGACTGGGAGCTACTTACCATAAAGCATGTGAGAAAAAATCCCACAGCACTGGTAAGAGAGCAGTAGATTTGCCTGATCGCATTCAGAAGAGAAGACGTGGAAGAAACGGGAGAATGTGAGTGTGAGGAGATGGCCGGCATCCTGCAATGGTACTTCAGGACTGGAGTGTCCTTCTTCCTCCTGACAGGTGAGCTATTTGTGTTTGTCAGCTTACCTGGAGAGAGCGCAGCTGCGTAGAGACCCCCTGACTGGAATGGGAATGTTTGATGCCCCCACACGTTACTGTGTTGGCTCTTCCTGTTTCTGGCCACTGCCATAGAAGGAAATTCAGCATCGGTGGCTCACAACGCAGAGATAGCTGGGGATCTGGGCCTTAAAAGGGGAGAATCCCTAGGGTTTGGTGGCATTTCAGCTTCTGGACGTTTGATATCTACCTATGGTAAAACACACACAGCTTCATTTCTCTATCCTCAACTGCCGTTCCATGCTTTTCAGCTTTTCCTATATTTTTGATATGTTACAGCAGTAACAACACCACCCTGCATGTATGTGTGACTGCGTGCACATGTGTGTATCCTGGGCGTGTGCCCAATTCCGTGTTAATTCACTCAAATTATAACTCCAGTGTATCTATGGGAATAAACTGGAATTTCCAGTTTAGGGTTAGGGTTAAACTGGAATTTCCAGTTTATTGATCCCCTCATCTGCCACTCTCTGGCTGGTCATCTGGGGGAACTTTGGGCTTGGCTTCTAGGCCCAGCTTGAGCTGCACCACTGGTGGCTAATTTGACTTAGGGTTTTCAAAGTGGTTCCCAAGTGCTGCTCTGTGTCAAGATGAAAAATTAACCATCTTTGCATGGGATTCTTAACTTAAAACGATTACTCTTTTCTCCTTTTGTAGAAATGGCATCTTCTGCCAGTGTAAGGACAGTGTAAAAAATCTATTAGAAGGAATCAGTGTGGGTACAGCCAAACAATTTCTGTAGGCAAACAGAACTGCCCCCTTAGCATACTTCCCGGCACAGTGATGCTAACAATCAGCACTTGATAATTATACAAATTCTTTCGACAGAAGCAAGGAGAAGCTGGTGCAGGAGAACCACAGCCCCCTTCTCCTCCCTTATTGCTTAACTGAAGCCATTTCTCCATATCGCAGTCAGAGGGCTGAAGAAATTAGCACAACCAGTTGTGGTTTGGTTGCTTCCACTCACAGGAAATCCTTCTCTTTCTGTTTCTAAGTATGTAGAGAGGGATACTGCCTGGCAGAATTAGTCACCCCTCTCCTTTGACTTTCCCCCATTGTGTTGGGCTACACCATGTAACTGAAATGGATTTAATTGGCATTGTTATGCCTTGAGGCGCACGAGATGCTGCACATTGTGGAAGTGGAGAACATTTTTAGCACAGCACAAAAATAAATAAAAACAAACCGGCATGTGCTGGTTGCCTGAACATTCACACCACTGAGTCAGTGCTTGACAGAAGCTCCTGTGCTAGTAGCTACTGCTGCAGCTCTTCTTGAACAAGCCTCAGTCCGTTGTGTGCACCTGGATCCTGCAGCGTTTGGCCATCCTTCCTGACAAAGCTGGTGCAGCTCGACCAGGCTGGATGGGGACCATTGGTGAACAGCAACTTCCTAGTCTTGTCACAGGTTCTCAATCAGGCAGCGGTCTGGACTTGACTGGGGCTATTCTAGAACAATCCAGTTCTTGTTTCTAGACCACTCCAGTGTAACTTTGGCTGTGCATTCAGGGCAATGTTCCAGGTCCCTTGCCAGCTGGAACGGTTTCCCCTCTAGATTTGCCCTGTTTTGGCTTGTCCTTGATCCTGACCAGCTTCCCAGTCCTGGCCGAGGAAACCATCCCCATAACATGATGCTGCCGCCACTGTGCTTCCATGTGGGAACAGTGGTCTCTGCACAATCATGGCATTTTGCAGCAAGGCCCAAAAGTTCACTTTCCATCACATCAGACCAGAGAATGTCCCCCTGTGTGCTTCCTGTGCCCCCCACATACCTTTCTGCAACTCCAAACAGGGTTTGAGATGGGCTTGTTCTAGCAATAGCTTTCTTCCTGCCAGCCTTGTGGAGTGTCCAGGTGATGCTTGTCCCATGGGCAGCTCCTCCTCTCTCAGCTCCTTCAGAGCTACAGCTCAGCTCTTGGTCGCCTCTCTAATGCCATCCTCACCTACTCACTGGGTTTTGGTGGATGGCCTCCTCTCAGCAGAGTCACGGTTGCTTCTTTCTGTTTTGTAATGATGGATTTAATGGGGCTCTGGGGGATGTTCATAATTTGGGATTTTAAAAAATAACTCTACCCTGAGTGGTGGCCAGGTCCTTGGTCTTCCTGATGCTGTTTGTTCCATTATGCTCTCCAATAAACTCAGGGTTCTTCCAGAAGTGGGTGCATTTAAACCGAGACAATGTGGCACTGTGATTGCACACAGGTAGATAACCATTACCTACTTAAACTACCATAGGTGGAGGCACCAGATGGAACCCAAAGGGGACAAATACTTAAATAGCCAGCAAGCGGGAGTTTGTGTTCATTTACCTAACTTTTGTGCCAGAGCAAAAATATTTTGCACTTTCATGATTCTGAGTATCTTTTATGCATCAGGTGGTAACAAGGTCAGTTACATCCATTTCAATTCCAAGTTGTTACACAACAAAATTTGGAAAAGTGAAACAGACCCAGTTGGAGGGCAATTGCTCTCCAAGTAGGCAATTCAGACACACAGCAGCAGTAAAATGATAATGATAATAATAGTGATGATGATGATGATGATGCCTGCTGGGGGGGCAACTGTCCCCTCACCTCAGTGGATCCTGGCCTGGAGTGTAAAAGGGCCCCCCGAGTATTTCTGCAAGGCACTGTGTGTGTTTATTGAGAAGGAAAACATACTTCAGTCAAATTTATTTTTAAAAATAAGGAACAAAATCAGGACAGCTTAGATAATGTAACCTTTGTTCAGCAGTAAAGAGGCACTGACGGTGCAGCTTCTTGTTGCAAATCTATACGCAGTTAGAGGGACCAGTGGGGTACAACCAGTGAACTGGAATCTTCAGGCATCTCCAGCCAAGCGTCCACACAGGCAGCTTGGGAAGGGCTGCTTTGTTGGGAAAAAGTTAGGAGCTGCTTTCTTCTGCTGCTGCTGCTCCAATCAGGCACTCGGCCTCCAATTGCTGCATGTGGTGCAGGGCAAGGGCAGGCCAGGAGGACAATTGTGGGGCTGTTTGTGTATTTTCTGTGTATTCTCCAGTTTGGCCATAAGGCACTCATTAAAATCAAGCCCTTCCTTACAGCCTTATTAAAAGGGGGCCATCAAATTGATCCTGAAACATGGCTGAAATGGTGGCTGGGAGGCTAGGTAAGCTTGGTAGTGTGAGAGACCTTGAAAGCAGCTGCAGGAATGAACACGTGGACCCACAGGGAAGACCGAATTGTCTTCAACCTCAGTGGTTTATTGCTGAGCTTGCCCAAGGCCTCCGCAGAAACTTATGACAGTGCACTACCAGGTAGCAGTCCTCACAGTCAACTACAAGCTTTTAGAGCATATACAGAGTGTTTTATAGGTTCCGAGTCAGGTACACAGCAGCAGGGCTGATGAGCAAATAATGGGGACATAGCAACAGGTAATTTGTTCCTGAACAAAACAAGGTGAATAAGCTGCAGAGGGGCTATGACCTAATGGCACAGTAAATGTCAGTGATTGCAGCGTATTGATATGACAAAGAGGAAGGCACATGGATCATAACAGGGTTTGGCTGTGGGTACTGATATGCAAGAAGACTAATCAGGGCAGTTTGCAGCCCAGCAGGTTAAGAGAACAACAGCTCAATGCAGTGAAACTAATAATGTAAGAGGGGAGAGAGTTCCAATCTCTTAAAGGAACAGGTCAGCAATAACAACGCTTCAAGGAACAAACAGGAACCTGGCTTGAAATTCCTTCTCTTTCTGAGAAAGAGGGGCAGGGATACTGTGTTGGGAAATTTCAGATCAATCCTGGTGGAACGTTGCTTATATGTGCCTTTGCGTTAGAAAATCGAATTATACCTCTTTCTCACAAAGCAGCAGAACTCCCAGCCAGGTTGCTGTTCAGCATTGCTGTTGCCTTCAGAAGATGGCATTGTTAGCCAGACTGGGAAACTGCTGGAGGCAAATCCCTGTGGGAAAACTGAAACAATGGTGCCCATTTGCTTCTGAGTGGGCCCACCTAAGTCCCACAGAGACGAGTGCCTGCTGAGCATGCTTGTCAACCCAGACTTCCTGAATGATTCCTACATCAGACATATTTGTATGTTTAAACAGACAGACTCTGCTGACCTGAACTGTCAAGGATTCGCTAGAATACAGCAATCAGTAATGTTTTCCATACTATTGTTACCAGAATTTCTGATCCCTTTAGAACATTATGCCATGCCCAAAGACATCAGAATGGTATTGTACTAAGATTATCTGGAAAGGTAACACTCTGCATTGGTGTATCTGACTAGCAGGTTATAAAAGTGTCTGTCCATGGGCTGTGACTTTGTAGTTGAGTTTGCCTCTACCTGGTAATATCTATCATTCCTGACTGCAGGTACCAGGACACTGGTCAATAAAGCAGCAGAGGTTCAAACTCTTGATCTTTCCCATGGCCCCCAGTTTTTATTTCCTCCTCACAAATTGAAAACGGAGATTTTGTCAACTGCAGGTTCAATTTTATATCACAAAGGCACAAATAAGCGGCCTTTTCCGATAAAGATTTATCTGGATTTTTCCCAACAGTAGTCCCATTTAATTTTTCAGCAGCCTTTGCCTTTTCTTTCTGGCATCCATTCGGCCTTTTGCAGCAGCCTGATGGGCTAAAAAGTAATAACCTTCACTTCTGTGGAATCTGCAGCATGGAACCGCTTGGCAGTGGCTGGTCAACATTTGAAATGCAAATAGAGCACAAGGACTTGCTGTTGTCAGTATCCTGCCCTTGACAGGCCTGCTCAGCTCCTGTATGCTCTGGAAGCTTCCCTGTAGCAGCTCTGGATGCCATTTCGCTTTCATCCCCCTGCCCATTTTCAGCATCTCCAGAGGGGAGTCCAGGTCTCCATACTTCCTGAAGTTGCCCAGCACAGATCTAAAGGAATCCTAAGGGAAAGCATCAGGTTATCTGCTTTTGGGCGTGCAAAGTACCACTCACTTCTAAAAGGTAAAGGCATTTAAACTTTAAATAGCAAGGAGGGTATTTAAATTTTAAATGCCTTTAAATAAGTGATCCCTGATTGGAGACAGGAGCCCCTTTCCCTGCTCTGTACTAAGAAAAGTCTGTCTTACTTGGGAAATCCCAGCTGTGGTCTTTCATGGGTGACCGGAGATTAGAGATGTTGTCTGCACAGAAACCAAGCGGAAGAAGATGCCTCCAGGCTGAAAGGGGAACCTCCACTGACTGAATCTGGCCCTGATCTGAAAGTTGCTCACTGATATTTGTTTTCTTTGCAGTTTGCGTATTAACCCTTTCCACCTCCCATCCCTCCCCTCGCCCCCCAGTCCCCCTTTGTTAGTTCACATGACTGCCACCTAGGAAAATAGGTGTCCTCTCCTTTGTCACACGTGCAGTGTGCCTAGTTCACAAGCAGAGGACCATCCACTCATTAATTAGGGACTCTGGCTGTGCAGATTGTATGCATCCTTCCTCCTCTGGGTTGATTCAAATCTCCCCCACCGTTCAAGTGGCGACTTCAGTGTGAGAGGCCGTTCCAGGCTTGCTGCTAGGGACAGGACTGTGTCCCGCGCTCGATGTGCCGTGCAAGCTCATCCTGAACACCAGGCTGTGTTTATGGATTTCCTCACAAGTACCTGTCATGCAACCAGCTATACAAAAACCTCCGGAAGTGCACCCCTCTTGCCAAGGCCTCCAGTTCAGCAGCGGCAACGTGTCAGTCAACAGTTTTCTGCTAGAACAGGAGGGATAATGGCTTGAGCTGCGGTCACAATGCAGTCTTATTCTGTTTTCAGGTGTTACCTGCTCTGTGAGTGGCCCCTCAGAACAGACCGGGTTTCTTGACAGGTCCCTGTCTGTGAATTGCACATATGATCGATCCTATCGCAACTCTGTGAAATATTGGTGCCGAGGAGCCAAATGGAGCAGTTGTCGAACAGTTGTGAAGACCAGGGGCACAGAGGCCGAGGTGAAGGCCCAGAGGACTTCCATCAAGGATGACCACACACATTTTCAGTTCACCGTGAGGATGGAGAACCTCACAGAGCAAGATGCTGATGGATACTGGTGTATCATAGAAAGATCTGGGGTGGATCTTGGAACCCCTGTAACTATTACTGTTCTCCCAGGTGAGTCCCTTTTCTAACCTCAGCAGGAACCTCAAGACCAAACACAGTGAAAGGGGAAGAAAGCTGGAAAAAGAGGGAGAAAGAGAAAGCCTAAACATTTGCAAATTTACTCAGAAGGGGCTTACTCCCACAAATCATAGGGCTATCCCAACATGCCATCAGACAAATGATAGGACTATCCCAACACGTCATCAGCCCAGCACATGTAGCAGGACACACTCTGGATTTGTTTTGCTTTTTTCAACCTGGCATGGGGATAATGATCTGCTGGTGGGGGACTTAGTCACTGTCAGATCACTGCCTGCTGAGATTTAGACCAATGGCAACTTTTCCCAACTGGAAGGGTGGGGACCAGTTAAGGTGGCCTGCCCTCAAAGCTATGGATCCAGAAGGCTTCCAGAGGGCCCCTGGGGATTGTCCAGGTGATAGGGCTGGCTGGCTGGCTGGCTGATCAATCCCTGGTGGTTCGCTGGAGCAAGACTGCTCCTGAGCACTTCTCTGTAGCAGAGCTCATGCGGCTCTGTGGCATGGCCTGGATCTAAGAGCAGTGGCAGAACACTGGGGACAGTTTGAACGCAGGTGGAGAAAAGCTCCAGCTGGATGCAGTTTAGCACTGGCAAGTGCTCACAATCGGGAACCAGCATTTCACTGCTTCCCTGCTATCTTCTGTTTGCTGTCCAGTGACGCTCTTTAAGATCATCTGGGGCCTATTACATGCTGGTCCCAAGGACATCTTAGGCCCATCTGAGGCCTGCTGAAATACATTTGCTAGGCTCTCTGGGTAAAATCTCTTGCAGCTGCTAGACTCCAATTTTGTAGCAGCTGAATTTGGAGAAGTTCCCAAAGCACAGCCCAGACTAAGTTTTTCTGGAAGAGTTTCAGTTGGTTCAGCTCAAGGAGGTTGGCAAGGTGCTTCCACACCCATTGCTCTTCTTGGCTTATCACAGCTAGCAGGGAGGAACAGTTGGCTGGACCAGGGAGGTGATCGAAGCCTCTTTACAAGAGGGAGGGCTCCAGTGCTGCCTTAAAAAGGTGGCAGTGAGGCCATTCCTGAAGAATTCCAGAGGATCCAAGTAATTTTAGGCCAGTGGCAAATGTTCCCTTCCTGGGCAAGGTCCTTGAATAGTAGTCGGTAGCTAACTAGCTCCAGGAAGTCTTGGAAGAGACTGATTATCGGGATTCATTTCAGTTGGGTTTCAAGCTGGGTTTAGGTGCGGACGTGGCTTTGGTTACTGTATGATGACCTGTGCTGGAGAAGAAACAGGGGAGTAGAATCCTGTTGATGCTCCTGAATGTCTCAACAGCTTTCCGTACCAACCGTGGCATCCTTTGGGCAACTGCCTGAACTGGGAGTGGGGACACTGCTTTGCAGCTCACCTCTACTTGGCAGGTTGGCTCCAGAAGGTAGTGCATGGGAAATATTGCTTGGCCTTGTGGATCCTGCAACATTAGGCTCCTTGGGGGTCAGTTTTGTCCCCGGTGCTATTTAACATCTGCAGGGAGCCACGAAGGAGGGTCATCTGGAGAGTTGGAGAGCATTGCCAGCAGTGCACTGATGATACTGATGACATGCAGCTCTGCTTCTCCTTTACATCTTCAGCAGGTGAGGCTGTCGATGTGCTAAACTGGTGTCTGCCTGCAACAATGGACTGGGTGAGGGCTAACAAACTGAAGTTCAACCCAGACAAGACTGAGATGCGGTCGGTGGGTGGTTCACCTGCCCGGATGGAGGGTACTCAACTTGTTCTGGAGGTCATAGCTTGGGGGTACTCCTTTAGCCATCCCTGTACCGTGAAATCCCAGTGGCCTCAGTAGCATGGAGTGCTTTCTACTAGCTTTGGCTGGTGGCCTGGCCACAACCCTTTCCAAACAGAAATAACCCATCTTCTGTAATCTATGCACTGGTGATCTGCAAGATAGATTACTGCAATGCTTTCTATGTGGGGGTGCCCTTGAAGCCATTCAGAAGCTGCAGCAGTTGGAACAGTTTTAATTTTATGATGTTTCCCTGTTTTATTCTATACTGCATTTTATAGTATTTATTACTATTGTTTGACAGTCAGAAAATGTCAGCTCTTGGGCAGTATAGGTAAATAAGTCAAGTCAAGACAAGACAAGTCATCTGAGTGGGATGGTGTAACTTGGTGTCCTACACTGAGCAGGTGGTTGGACTTGATGGCCTTCATGGCCCCTTCCAATTCCACTATTCTATAATCCTATGATAAGTCAAGAATACAATAAGATAAAATAATTAAATAGAAAGGGTTTTCCTTGCTCCCTAGAGATGGAACCAACAGCATAAGCTGCCTCAGCCTGGTTCCACTGGTGTACGGGAAACGGATGAGACTCATGACATGTCTGTGCTTGCACTCTTGAATGCATGCGACGTTTAGGAATGTGAAGGCATGACTCAAATGTCCTCAAGGGTCACTAAATTTTGGTTTCTGTTTTAGAGCCGACTACAACAGCAGCTTCAACGACTGATCATTTGTCTACAACCTCAGTCATCTCTACTGAGAGTCCAAATCCAGACAACATTCAGTAAGAATAAGCAGACAGACATGTTTGTGTGGGGAACTCGAAGGCACTATAAGAACGAGATGGCTAGCTAAGGAGTAAAATGTGGTTCCTTTTTATCACAGGCTCCATTTCTAGGTTAAGGGTTTCTTTCCTATGGAGGAATATTCCTTGCTTCTGAATTCCATCTAAATGGAACAAGTCCAACTCATTCATCCATGTAACATCACACCCTTCACAGAGTGCACTGTTAAGCTGTGAAATTCACTTATAGGAGATGCAGGAGCGGCCATCAACTGGAATAACTTAAAAAGGAACTTAGACAAATTCCCAGAGGATGGGGCTGCCCATCGCTACTCGCCATGTTGGCTCAAGATGATGTCCTGGATCATCTGGCCCCATTTGCTGGAAAAGATGAGCAGGAGCTGCTATTGCCCTCCAGTGCAACTCATAGGCTTCCCAGGGGTATCTGATTGGCCACCATGGGACCACAAGAGCAAGCCAAGTAGTCGTCTGGCCTGGTCCAGGGTGGCTTAACTGGATGGCCAAAAGGCACAGCCAAGTGGTGCTTCCCATATCTTCCTCCTCTTTGTCTGAGAAGTCTTGTCTTCAACAGCATACTCGTGTTACCAGCCGCTTTTCTGGTGCTGACGGTCATTTTGGTAACAGCTTTGCTGATAATGTGCAAGATCAAGAGGCAGAAGGGTGAGTAGAAGTTTGTGGAAATTCCCTGCATTTGTCTCGGCTGTCTCATCCCTCTGGAGGTTGCTGCCACTTCTGGTCTCTCCATCTTCCTTTCTGCTCTCCTCCATGTTACCTATTTGACTGACCTGTCCCTCCTCAGATTGGGTTGTGGGTTGAACAAAGTCAACAAGCGATTCAGGGCACAGGCTTATCTACCTTCTCAATGTTGTTTTGGGGAAAAGGATGAACCAGAGTCCCAGCTCTGACCTTGGAAAGTCGGAGCTGAACTTCAGCCTCAGAAGCCCACCTGCTCCACTGCCACTCTCTCAGCTAGTGCAGCTGTTTCTGGGCTGGCTGGGCTCCAAAATGGAGACGGTCATGGGTGCTGGTGCAGAAGGGAGGGCATTCCCGTGGTGCCTCAGCATCTACTCCCCGTGAGGGAGGGAAAAATCTTTAGGCAGCCAAAATCAAAAAGTTTTGGAGGGTGAGGGGAGCCTGGGGGTAATCCTACTCTTTGTGTTCCTCCCGTCTGCCACTGGATGCCTGTGAGACTCACCTTCTTCGGAGGGTTACAGGCAACCACTTTGGATGCCATCACGTACAGACGACAGCACTAACTTTCTCCCCCACCCAAATAGGTGCTTGTTTGACATGAAAAGTCCTAAGTGGCTTAGGGCCTGGCTACCTAAGGGACCATCCTTCACCCATATGAACCTGCCTGGCCCCTTAGATCAGAGCAGGAGGCCCTTCTACAGGAGCTACCCCTCAAAGAGGTGAGGGGGGTGGCGAATAGGAAAAGGGCCTTCTCAGCAGCTGCTCCCCACCTCTGGAATAAACTCTCAAGGGAAATCTACTTGGTGCTGTCACCATTTTCATTTCAGCGCCAGGCAAAAACATACATTTTCAATATCTATTTTAACTTATCCTAACTCCCTTCCACCTATTTAATGTTACAGTTTTATGATTATATTTGATTTTAAAAATGTTAAGGCTTTAAAAATTTAAATTGTTCTATATTTAAAAATGTATTATTGTGATTTTGTAGGCCACCTAGGGACTTTTTTAAATAACTGGTGGAATAGAAAGGGAAATATAAATAAATGAATGAATGAATGAATAGTGATGTATTAAGATCCATAGAAAGAGTTTATCTACAAATTCTCCTATTCATTGCAACATTTTTATCGTATTTATTTAGAGTACCATCCTATACTCTCTGACTTCTATGCATGTAAATCTCTGAATTCAACACAGAGCACAAAGTGTGATGGCAGCAATATCTGCTCTCTGGAAGCCTGGACTGTGCCTTCCATCCGTTCCTCCTCTCCAAGGCAGAATTCCAACAAGAGAGGGGAAGTTGGCATGGTTCCTCCCTGGCTGGCTGCAGAGGGGATGGCGTGGTTTTAGAGTCCCACCTCTGAGGTTGCAGGACCTTGGAGCTGGTGTTCTGAATAATCCTGTGGCCCCCCAGGCAATGTGAGGAGGCCATAGGACTGAATCCTTACTGTGCATTTAAACTACCCGATAACCAAAGTTCTCTGGGTGACATGAAGTACAAACATTAAAACTTAAAAATATAAAACAGTGTGGAAGAAAAGCAAAATAGAACTGGCTGCAAAACATAAACCCATTACATCATCCAATAACCAAATTAAAATTCACAGCAAAATGGAGTGCTGAAAGCTGCTAAATGCAGCTCTTATAATTCCTGGGAGAACCAAAACATCTTCACCTGGTGCAGAAGGATCAAGATGTAGGCACCAGGTGAGCATTTCTGGGGAGAACATTCCACAAATGGGATGCCGTGATTGAAAATATTAGCAGCAATGACTTGTTCTGTTGCTGTCAAATGTTTAAGCTTGCATCTTCTACATTGGGATGAAGGCACCTCCTTGTCATGAGGCTGCAAGCTGCTGAAACATTCAGTGCCTCTGATTCCCTGCATGACTTTGAACAATTCACTGCTTTTAAAAATTGGAATCACTACAATCCTTGCAAATGGATCAATTTACTAAGATCTTGTAAAGAGTCAGCGATAGAAAATAGCTTGCATGCATGTGTGTGGCATAGAGAAAATTAAAATAATAACACAATAATATGAATTAATATTCTGCCCCAGTTAAGGACTCTTCTTCCCATTCTCCACTGCCTTATTAGAAGGGATTCCAGAGCGTCCCGTCCCTTGTTCTGAAAGGCTTGTGCTTGTCCAAGTGCTCAGCCAGCGCCCTTGCCAAAAGCTTACAGGTGCTTGTGCAGCCAGTCGTGGGATTCCAGGTGGGAAATTTTGGAGGTCATCAGTTTCCTACTGGAAGCAAATGACACAGTGAAGAGCACAGCGATGGGCCAAACCTTTCAGCCCAGCCACTTTCAGGTGTGTGTGGAGGGCCGTGTCGAAACAAAGATGCTCCCCACAAAAGAGGGTTAATACCAGTGAAAGATTTTCTGGGGAGTGGGAGCATTGCTAGACACTTAAAAGATGTGGGGCGCAATCTTTCCACTGGCATCAATGAAATGGTGTATTCTAAGCATAATTGCCCCATGAAGGAGGGAGCTGGGGTGGGCAAGAAGGGGCAAAGCTTTCTGTCTCTCCTCCTTGTTGTGATCCACCTGAAAAGGCCATTCTCTGCATGGAAGCCAAGAGTGGGGCAAACCTGCCTCTGGCAGCGCAGAAAATTTTTCTGTGCTTACCTGCCAGGCTGGAGAGCTGCAACATGGGGAGAAGGCAAACCCTTTGCTCCTGAGCTGCAGTCCTTCCTGAAAATGGTCCCCTGAGAGGCAATTGCACTGACTTTTCACCTGGTACCAATGGGTGGAACACACAATGGACATGTGCACACACCCCTTCCGGCCCGTCGGCATGAGTGGACCCTTAAGGTTTTGGGGGTAGATTTAGGGCCATGTCCTTAGCAAGGCAGTGGGGAGTTTCGGCTCCGTCCTTGCTTAACTTTGTGAGGCGGCCCAGTGCATGTAGTAGCTCCTCCAGGATAATCAGTGCATGCAGCAGGTGGCCATCCTGGTGTATGGGTGCAGCCATCGGTACAGGGGACACAGCTCTGCAAGTGCAGCCATTATACATCTGATCTGGTGGCATGCATCTCCCCCAGCTTCCTGTGATGGGAGGGTGCCTTGTTTTGCCTGACTGCGGAACACACGGGGGAGCTGAGCCACAGCTACCGTCAATGTGGCCTAGCGCAGACCTATGTGGGAATCAGCCTGAGAAGGGTGGGAAGACATCACCCACTTCCCATAGCAAGTGCCCACATGTCTTGGGAAGCTTCCTTTCTGCTTCGAAAACTGTGTGTGGGTATTGTAGAGATGCATATTCCTCCCTATGCATTTACTTTTCTGATTCTTTTGTCCATTGTTTGATTTAGAAATATAGGCTACAGTATTGCATCAGGGACTTAAAACTATCTGCTGTCTTTTCAGCTGCAAAAGCACGTGCGGATATTATGCTGTCCACAGTAAGTAATTAAATGGCTGCTTTTGTTCCCTTCCACATTCAAGAATTCAGGCATATACCTTCCCGGGCAACCTAGGGAAGCAGGGAGTAGAAGGGGCAGGGGAGCCTCACGGGACGGTTGGAAGTGGAGCTGGTGCCCACAGCCACAGGCAGTCCTGGGAAGGAGTTCTCCACCTCAGCACAGTGCCTGGATAGGGAGGAGGGCGCCTCTGATGGGCTCCATACTGCTCACACCTGCCAAGAACAGCAGCTCTTTTCACAGACGGTGACCACAGAGCTTAGCTTGTGCAGTGTGTGGAATTTTATTTATGAGATGTGTGAGCTATTTTTACAAAAGGAAGACGCACATACAGGAAGATGTACAGGGCAAAAAACCAGCCATACAAAATTAAAACAAGGGACAAGTAAGAATAGCATAGATATAGCTACTGACAGTATCGTTTCACTAAAACACGCATTACCTACAACCCTGTATAAAAACAGCTTTAGCCCAGTTTGATAGGAAGTGAAACTATGCCAAGACCTCAGAACATTAAAAAGGGTCTACGTTTTCTGCTGGAAAAATAATAAAATAGGTGCCGAGTGAATACCCCTGGTGTAGTATTCCATAGTCAGGGTGGTGCCACATGGAATGCCCACTGTGTCCGCCAGTTGGAATAGGATATAGGCAGCTGCCGTATATGGAGCCAAAACCTTGGTCCATTTTGCTCAGCACTGCCAGCACCGACTGGCAGCAGCTCCCCAGGGATTCAGGCAGCTTTTCCAGCCCTACCTAGCGATGCTGGGATTCACCCTAGGAATGCTTGGTGCTTGGCCACTGTGCTGCGGCTCTCCAGGGACCAGCCTGTGGTTCTGTACTTTGAAGGTTGTGTTGTCTGCTATGACTTCGGATGCGAAAGCATGGCTGCTCCCCGCTTTTTGGTGCATCGAAAAGCCTTAAGTCTCAGACAACCTTGGAGTCACTGCTACAGCTGCACAGCCTGCTGGAGTCTGCTCAGATACCCCAAATCAGGCAGCTCATGCTCTTGCTTTTATTTCAGGCTCCTAGGCAGACAGATGGCAATACTTCCAGTGGAACAGAGCTCCAGAACCACAACGAGACAACATCTCCCAGCTCTGACGAAGACACCAAATGTGCAGAAGACGTGGAATATGCATCTGTGATAGCAAGAAGTTATGCTTCTCCACCACAGGTTCTCTCCTTTGCCAGAATTTGCCCATGTTTTCTGGTCTCTTTTGGATCCTGCCTTTGAGTTTCCATGCATATTAAGGACCATTCCTAAATGCATGGTGTTTATTGAGCATATTGCAAATTGGGGACTTTTATTCTGAAAAAGAGACCCTGGGGCTCATTTACAGGGGATAGGCATCTATTTGAATGGCTGTCAGAGGCCCAATTTCAGGGGTCCTCAAACGTTTTGAATAGGGGGCCAGTTTGAAGGGCTGTGGTGACCATCGCGGGCCGGTGAGGTGGGGGTGCCTGGGGGCAGGGGCTGGTGAGGTGCCGTCGGGCGCACACAGCAATGGCTCGCCCGCTCGGAGGTCTCCCAGCGAGTCCAAGACCGTCTCCACGCGAGCGAGCCACCACCTCCCTGCCCGTGCTGTGAGGCAGCGGCGAACGCGCGCATATGGGAGGCAGGCGGCAGCTCACTCGCTTGGAGACCATCTCTGAGCGAGCCAGCCAGCCAGCCAGCCAGCCAGCCACCACCTCCCCGCCCACACAGCAAGCGCACGTGCGGGCGGCAAATGGCGGCGTGAGCCGGACGGATGGCCATGGCGGGCTGGATCCGTCCCGCGGGCCGTAGTTGGAGGACCCAAGCCCTGTTTGAAGGTTAAGAGAAAAGAGTATAAGAAAGGAGGAAACTCAGGGACCTTGAAGTTGCCTGTCAAAAGTTAGCATCTGCATAGCACCTGACTGAACGGGGAAACAGGCTGCCCCTGGCCAGTGCCTTCTTCACTATGCCCACATTTGCATCGCTACTGGTAATTCACGTGCGAAAAGGTTCTGCAAATCTGAGTTCACTTTTGTCTCCTTGTCTGGTTATGCCTGTCCTACGTTTTGCTGATGTCTAAGTGCTCCGCCTGCCCAGGGTTGAATGCTAATTCCTCCCCCTCCCTCCTTCTCAGCTCCAGGTGTGAGGCTTGGTCCTCTCTGCGACAGGCTAGGATGAGAAAAAGGGGCTTTCCTAATGAAGGTCAGCCCGTCTGCTAGTCCTCGCTGTCTTGTGGTTTGCACGTGATGTTCCCGTTCCCCAGCCCCTCTCACTGACCGATGTCCTTTGTGTCACCTTTCCAGCTTCCTGAATACACAGAAGATGTTGCTTATAGTACCTTAAGGTTTCCTGACCTGAATGAAGATGCCACCTATGCCAACACAAGGTAGACATCCTGTCTGCCATGGGACATCCTCCTCCTCTCCTAATGGACTACCTCATCCCTTAAGTTGCCCTGTGGGGAGACCCCGGTCATTCTGCCCATGATGAGCAGAATGCCATTGCCAAAACACCATCTTGAGTGAAATCAGCCTCTGCCTCCAAGCTGTGGGTCAGCCACCTGCTTTGAGCTTTCACAGGTGCCCAAGCAATTCCTTTCAAAGCAGGGCCTCCTGCGATGGTGACCTGTTTTGCAATGGATTGTGAAATACTGTTGTATTGCAATTGGGCCAACAGGTTGCTTGCATTCCTGTGAGCCAGCTTTCCCAACTGCCTCCATTCCTAGCCACCTCGGAGGGCACCAGGTTGGGGAAAGCAGCTGTGACCCGATTTCTTTTGTAAGGGATACTTATCTTATTAGAACCAGTGACATCTGAATGCTGACTTGTATGTATGTCTGAGACTGTAGTCCTGGTCGTCTTAGAATTACTGTTCAGGAAACTCTCTTGGGGTGGATATAATTAAGCAAAGGGATGCAAATGGCTTCTGATGGTGAGGATAAATCAAAAGCTGCAGCTTGAGAGAAGAGGAGGAGGAGGAAGTGTGGCGGATGCATTTTTGCTAAGACGGCTTTTCTGTTGCACATTGGGCGGCTGGGAGACTGACCCACTCCACTGACGAGAGTGGATGTTTCCTAGAAGTATCGCTCATGAGACAGGTTGAAAAAACTCTTGGTGTGGGTTTGAATTTCCCAGTGTATTTGGGAGCAGAATTCTGTTCAGTTGCTCCTCATTCAAAGAGGATACTGGATCTTGTGAATGATCCCAAAAGTCCTCATTCAAGCTTGTGAAATGTTAAAACTGAAAGCAGCAGAGCTTAGAGCAGGGGTCCCCAAACTTTTTCACCAGGGGGCCAGTTGAAAGATGCTGGTGCTTGGCATGGGCCAGAAAGGTGGTGCTAGTGGCGCGTGCGGGCCGGCGAGGGGGCGGGGGCGGGGAAGGTGTGTGCAGGCGCACGCTGGGGCAGGGGCGGGGGGCGCGGCGAGGCGAGGCAAGTCGGCGGGCGCACGAGGCAGCGGCTTGCTCGCTTGGAGATCGATTTCTCTGCGTGAGCAGACCACTACCTCCCTGCGCGCGGGGCAAGGTAGGCGGCAGCAGGGGCGCATGTGGGTGCGGGCGCGCATGCGGCAGGTCCAAATGGGCAAGGTGGGCCGGCTCCAGCCCGTGGACCCATGAGGACCCCTGGCTTAGACCATCCAGCTTGGTTCCTTCTGTCAGGATGCAGTGCAGGAGTGACAGGATGGGTCAGGAAGCAGGGCTATTTCCTCGGCTATGCAACATTTGGCTCCTTGCTTGAACGGCTTTCCATGCCAGCTGGTCAATATTAGACCTTTGCAACTACCAACTACTTCCTGAGTTTGCTTTTCTTCTCCTGGTTATCAGTCCCTTTCCATTTTCTGTCCTGTCTTTTAGGTTGTAAGCCAGAGGGCAAAGAGGGTATTTTTATAAGGCATTCCAGCAGCCTATTTTGGCTGAGGAGCATTGTCACAAGAGTAACATTGCTTTAATCAATGCCAAATGTTCTGGAAAGCTTCTTTTTTGTGCATAGCATGTAATAAAAATGTCCCATTTCTAAGCTTGAAGAGTTACTAAATAATCCTTCTTTTATCCCCACTGAAGGTGCATTTCCATGCAAGTTTAGAGAGAGAAAAAGCCTGCAACTCCAAGCAGGATCCAGGCAGCTAGATACACCTTTTCCGGTCTCTGAAGTATGAGGGCATTAGCAGAGCGATCGATCGTATGCAGGCTCACCAAGAAGCAAATCCCACCGCGTTTAGTGCCCCACTGAGCAGCTCGGTTCCTCTGCCACGACAAGCCAATCTGCGCGGTTTCCACGCTGCAAGGGACACGGCCGGCCGTTCCGCGGTGGGCCATTTCAGGGAAGCCTCTCCTGACAGGTGACACAGGACTGAGAAGGAGAGTCAGTCCAAGACCTTAGACTGAACAGCCTTCCCCACCCTGATGCCCCCCATTGTGGCAGCCTCCGTCACCCACAACCCTTGTGCACGCTGGCCGGAGCGGTTGGGAGTTGTAGTCCAAAACATCTGACAAGCACCAGCCTGGGGAGGGCTGCCCTAGGTTAGCACAGCAGAGTGCCTGGATGGTAGAGGCAATGCAAGAGGATATGCTGAGGGGGCATTCATTGGTGCCAAGGCCTCCAAAAGAATTGGGAGCCCAGGATGTGGGGAGTGGCCCAGCAGCAGGACCCACACGTCGTTCTATCCGTGAGCACCCTGCGGACGGGAAGTGGCTGATCGGTGCTGGTCGCCTTCTCAGTCGGACTGAATCGCAGCCCTGAATCAACCAGCCAAGCTCCAGCCGTGCTAGAGCTAAGAGCTGGTGAATCATTCGCAGCTGCTATGAACAGTGGGGTGTAGCTCCCACCCTCCCCCTGCAGTTCCCTTAAATGGGCCAGATCACTGTGGAGGGGGGCGGGTAAAGATCAGTAAGATTAACTCCTGAAAAAAAGAACATTCTGACCGAGATGAGGATGTAAGCTATGCAGCTCCAGAATAGAGGGGATATCAAGGGCACTTTTGCATTTGGCTCATGTCTATGCACTTCGCAGGCATAACAGCTACTACCTGTAGGCATGTCATGCTTCCAGTTTCCAGTGCTGCTGTCCTGAACAGAAGTAATTGGGAGACCTGTGGGATTATAATGGAATATTATAATGGGATAACTGTGCTGATTGCATGCTTGTTTGGCCTGAGGGTGAAAGATAGATGAGAAGGAATGGTAAGAGACCTGCATGAACCAGTCCTGGGTGGTTCCAATTTTTTCCCTTCAGTTTAGGAATGCATGGGAAAATGCTCCAGTTCATGGCTGACCAGAATTAATCCAGTTCACACCTCCTAGAAGCAAACCAGATATGAATGTGAACTGTGGTCTGAGTCCAAATATTTCTGAGCTTGCGATGCAACTCATGGAAAAAGCAGCTTGGGAATGCATGCCTTTCAAAAATGCGTATGAAAGATGGATTCATTTGAAAATGAATGACAAATGTGCACAAAGATGCTTTTAATCAGTGGAAGAAAAAAGTATACCATTGAGGCGTACCCTTGGAACAGCGCACACAGCAATACGCACACAACAATATGTATGAACCTTTGTGATTTCACGTAGCCTATACACTAATCCTTGCAACAGGGTATGACTGAAGGGTGAGGCCCTCTTCTCTAAGAATGCAGCCTTCCAAGGTTGTTGCTTCAGATTCTGAATCAGAAGAGGAGGAAGGAGAGGGATTGGCTGGAATGCCAAGAGACCCAGAGACGTGGCAAAGGCCTGCCGAAAAACAGGCCAGGTCTGGTTCTGTGGAAAACTGTTGAACAGGCAAAGTTGGATGGGGACAGACTTGCCTCTGTTCATCCAATTGTACATCATCGGATCAAAAGGGCCGACCAGCTGAGTAGCGTCAGACATTCCCACAAACAGGAACCACCCTAAAGGTGGAGCAAACTCCCTTCGGCTGGGAAGGGAAGAGTGGGATTTGGTTTGAAATCAGCTTCCTATCACTCAGCTACAGTCCCCTAATGGTCAGTATTCTAACCTATCTGGTGTCTTTGGTTACTGACTACTTCAATGCTCTTATTCTGTCTTACAAAGCCAGTGTGGCTCGACAGCTTCAACATAATAAAGAATTTAGTTAGAAACCTTTTTTTCCTGGCCTGCTTGGAACTGGGGGGAGTGGGGGGGCAGGACACAGAGCATTTTGATTGCAGGAAGTTTGCCTTGCGATCCATTTAGAGGGGCTGGTTTTTAACAGGTTGTTATTAGCTGCATACATTCTCAAAGACATTCTCTTGCCTTGTGGAGGAAAACCAGCTGCCCTGTCCATTTCCTTCTTATTGAGTCTCCGTGACCCGCCTAGACCATTCGGCTTTCTCTTTGACTCTCTGTGCCAGACACCAGGCAGGGTGATGTCATATCTGATCACACATCATGATGTCACCTCTGCTGTTCTAAGCAGTTCATTTGCCTCAGCCGATTTTCTCCGTCTCCATACACATGGGAAGGTCCAGCTCCCTAGCAACCCCCTGGCACCAAGACTAGCTAACTGGGGATGATCTCAGCAGTGGCTGCAAACATACTGAATGGGAGGTCACATGTGGTTGCTTGCATCGATAAAACTTGGGATCAGTGTCTCATGAACTAAATGGATGCTCAAATTTGCCGGTTGTGGGTCTAACTCACCTTTTTTTATCCATAACCACCATCACTAGATGAGTATTTCTGTAGCAATTTTTAGAGCTCAGAGGGAATCACATATGACTATCACAGCATCCCTCTACAGGGCTACTTATGGAGAGAAGGGCTTGATTGGAGAAAGGCCTGTTTCAGAACCGCAGTAAGCAGGACTCAGCAGAGCAACTGCAGATTAAGGGTCGTATCCAATGCTAGTTTGCTCTCAGCAGGTCCAGCATTGGATGCAAGCAAAAATGTTTTGAGCACTGCAAGGCAACTTAGATTCAAATTACAAGGTTACCATTTCTCTTCTCAGAACGCAGCTTCTCTCCCTGGGCAGGACATTCCATTTTTAAAGGCAGAACTGATCTGCTCGCAGTAAGGCAAGGCAGTCTGTGCAGCACACTCTTTTGAGCCTCGGTTCCCTAAGAACAGGTCTGTTTTCTATGTCCATTGCAGCTCGACTTTGAATTAGGCTTTTGCAGGAGTGTGAGGAAGGCTTATGCATGCACAACCACTGCCTCTGGCCCTATACATTATTCATTCTCCTAACCTTTCCCAGCATGATATTGTGCTGTCTTTGCAATACATTCACCCACTTTACTTTCCTGCTGGGGATCTATAGAACACGTGACATAATTTTTGCCTTTCCCAATCTTCAAAACACTTAGCCTACATTAGTTATTTAATCTATATGACAGATCTATACAGACATATTAGTATGCATTTCACCATGGGGAAACCATAGGGAAGGAATTGATCCAATGCGAGGCACTAATTGACACATTCCAAAGATTCATGTGATACAATCATTCCTGAATGGTTCCACTTTGGGCTACCCATTACAGCCTCATGGAGCCTCCATAACTCCAGGCAGAAAAGGCATTGCCAGCTCCAATTTTTCCAGCTTGATCTGACTCTGGATGAGATCGTTGGCCTTCCTTGGTCTCAGCTTCACAACTGCATATTTTAACATAAGCATCCCATGTCACAATGTGAATTGTACGTTGCTACCAGACTAGTAACTGCTCTCTTTTGCTGCAGTCCCTTATGGGTTTGCCCTCTGATGACTTTAACAGCAATCACAATGGCTTTGCCTTAAGACCAACGTTTTGGAGTGGATGCCATCCTGATTCCAGCTAAGGATGATACAATCTAGGGGTGTGCCTAGGAACACACATTCCCTGCAGTGGTGCTATCAGAGCTGGCCTTTGGGGCAGATGTCCAGGGACCCACTCCAAAATGAGCAGGATCCCCCCCCCGCCATAAAATACAACAGGTCAATCTTACCACATTTTGAAGAATGTGAAGTAATGGACATGACCATCTTTAGAAGCCCCCACCTGTCTGCCCTACCATAAGATTAGTATGTCCAATGTGCAGTATGTGTGTGTCTGTGTGCATGCATTTGGTGAAAACCGTATTTTATTGTAACTGGCTCTATTTAAAATTATATTTAATATGATTTTATTATGTTAGTATTGTTTGATTCAGGATGCTACCTTGCAAAGGCTATGGTCTTGAAAGGCAGCTATGCCATAGATGTATATATTTAATAGAAATGAATAAATAAGTGCAGTTGCAAACTTATGCATGCCTACTCAGAAGTAAGTCTTACTGTGCTAAATTGGACTTGCTTCTTGGTAAATGCGTGGGATCG